GTATAGCTCGGTTGCTTCATCACGATAGGGAAGTCCGACCACCACGTCAAGGTAGCAACAACGGTCGAGTGATAATAACCTTTCACTATCCAACCATACACTATTATAAGTATGATGTCATACGTTAAATACATATAGGAAGGGATTTTACTTGAATGAGAGATGATTAGTTGAAGTTCATAATTTAACATACCTAAATTCATTAAATATTATAAGCATTCTATTTTTTAAATCCTATACAAGCCTCAAAATGTTTTCGTTTATTTAACTTTCGTTTGATTATTAAAAAATGAATAATATCAATAGTTGAGATCATTAGTCAATTGAAGCTAGACCACCATGGAAAACCTGGAAGCACTTGACGGCCGTTTCGTCCTATTGTGGGACTCCTCAGCAGTGCGCGCCCACGAGATTCGAACCCAGTACCTATCGGTCTCGTACTTCCAGGTTTTCCATAGTGGTCTAGCTCCAATTGACTCATGAATTCAACTATTGAAATTACTACAATCTCCACAAAACCCCTTCTGAAATGAAGAATAATTAAATATGGGTTAAATATTATGTATAATGAATCCAAGAATTTGATCATTCTTATTGTTCAAAAGACTAACTATATAAACTGTTTTGTCTGAAAGTGTAAAATGTTCATTTGGTGATTTTCTAATGTGTCAAATACAAGTCGCCTAACTAACCGTAATCTTTAACTTTTAATTATAATGTATAAATTCTGCTGTACCTTTTTGATAGACACTAACTGTCTGGATACATGTAATTTTTGAGTGATTATAATTTATGTAAATTATACAGACTTTATTTATCATTCATAAGGTTAGTTTATCTGTGAAGTTGATTGGGAAAACTTAACTTTTAGTAAAATAGATTATTCACAGAGATACTTTATCTTTAGAGTAGTGAAATTTCTATTACTTTTCAAGTGCGCAGTTATTAACGTTAAAGTTCAAGTAGCAAATAGTAAGTTATTTTGAATTAATTTAAAATCATCGTCAAAAATTATCTAAATTTGTGTGAAGTATGTTTAATACAACATTGGATGATCTTAAAGAGGAAGAATGTATTTGTAAAATCTCAGCGAATGAATGTAAAGTAAATTCAACATTTCGCCTAGGAATCTGGTTCAAGCTTTTTCAAGGAAACATAATCAAACATTAAAATTATCGAATCTAAATAGGTACATGGTTCACTGTATACTAAATAGATCATCCGACCAACGTTAACAATGTTTGGATTAGGTATTTGCTTTAGTGTGTATGAGATATGTGGTGTGAAACGAAAAGTGTGTTAAGATAACAGATTGCATGTATACGTAAGTGGTGTGAAAGAAATTTCATTCATTATATATTGTCTCTGGTCGGTGAATTTTCAGGAAACATACAATTTTTATATATGATATAAATCAAAAATGTCACAGCATACATAAAATGAAGATAAATAAACAACATAAAGGAATGAATTCAAAGAGAAAGAATGTATTTGTAACTGAATTTAAATGAATGTTTATGCTAGTTTTTTATTGTTCCGGTTAACTGTTTAACATATTCAGATAAGACAACTGATTGGAACCGTTGAACATAATTGCTGCCATTCAGATAATAAACAATAGATAAAATGGAATAAGGAGTTTAGGTTTATTTATTAATTATTAGTTGTCATAGGACAACTAATCGTATTCCAACTCTCTTATTAAAACTGTTTGGATTCGCCCCACATTAAGTCGTCACCCAAATACTGTGTAACTATTCGATCAAATTTAGATAAAGTTCTTATATTGGATGATCATATTTTAAATGTTTGATCGGGCGTTTATATCCTTGAGATAACATATATTTTTCTGATAACTTTTAGATATGAATATTTCCGATGAGTTCCTATGGGCCTGATTATAGTTCCCTTTTACTTAAACCATTTATCTTAGTGATTGCTACTGATTAAAATTGATCAACACTGAAGGCTATTCCACATCAAATTAGGCATCAAATAAGTGGCTATGCAGTCTAAAGTAAATAAATCAATCATCAGCATAAAGGAATGATGTATATTTTCTGTTATAAAGTTACCTTTGATATTAAAAACCTAACACTACACTACTCGATTTTATTAATGATAAATATGACTTTCAGTTTGGAACACTGTAATTATTTCTTGACGTTTCTTGAAATGAGTTATCAATGTATCTCATTCCAGTATCATCTTGGTTGTTAAACCATCTTCTAGTTCTTTCCAATAGCATAATGAAACTACTTTCAGAAATATCAGTTTAGGTGTTGTGGAGATTGTTAAGCTTTTGATTGAAATCATGAGTCAGTTGAAGCTAGACCACCATGGAAAACCTGGAAGCACTGGACGGCCGTTTCGTCCTAGTATGGGAATCCTCAGCAGTACGCATCCATGAGCCCGCACCCCGCGAGATCCGAACCCAGGCGCCAGGCGCTTAACTAACTAGACCACTGAGTCAGCATCCAATGGTGTTAATGTCTAACCTCAACCAATCCACGGGATTGCGCGACCATCTTCAATTGTACTGAGGTAGACACCTGTTTCTACCCGACACGGATTAGCTCCACTGGTCACAGAAATATGATTCTCATTTACTTTCTTTCAAATTTTCTCTATTTTTCATATATTAAGAAGTTATGTTACATAGATGCTTTGACTTTGTAATCATCTTTAAATACTCGAAAATTCATACAAAATAGATAGAAAACTTGAAAGTTTATGTATGTTTTTTTTTCCAATGACAAAAGTATTTAGAAATGTTAATTGAAAATAATACCATATTTACTAATGTGTTCCTTATTCATTTTGTCAATATTGAATGAATTCACTTTACTTCATGAGAATCAGCACACTATTAATTATTAGGACATTTATTATTCAATAATAATAATAATAATAATAACCTATTTGGATCCTGTAATCAGTTATGTTAAAATTACATAGTTGATGTAACAACTAATAAATTATTCATATTTTCTTTTTATTTTCCTTTCTATCCATTTTAATATTCCTATTTTAATTCAGATCTTACTTTAGGACATTTTCGATTGTGTATATATGTGTGTGTGCGCATATTTCAGCTTGAGCATATGTATATGTGTATGCATGGTGACATCTACTTTATTCACTTTGATATTTGTTTTTATATTCTACAAAAAATAATACTCTGAATTAGTTTCATAGTTGTTTGAGTTTATAGTAAACGGAACTATACAAACAGTGTTTTTGTTGTTTGATCATATTCTCAATAATAATAATAATAATAATAATAATAATAATAATAATAATAATAATAATAGTGATGATAATCATAATGAGATCATAATAGATAAAATAACGTATTCGATTGTCCATTATGCCTAACTGGATGTAAAAACAGGATTTTTCTCCTTTTTTGGGTCTGTTGTTATTTCCCATTTTGTTTTTTTTAGTTTCCTGTCCGAAATATAAACAAAAACAACTGTCGAAAATATTTTATCCGACTCTTTCTGTTTTATATGTTAGAATTCTTATATTTAATTAAATTTTTTCTAATACACTAAGAAGAATAGACTAGGTAAGATTGATACTTTGTTGTTTGAATCTTTTAGTTACTTGAATGTTCCGTTATTATATAACATTCAATGAGAAGAATATTATTCTGTTTATTTTTAAACAGAATGTATACATATGTTATTGTATGAACGAATCTTAGATGAAAAAGATTTATTTATATTCAGTATAGTAAATACTAAAGAAAGACAGCTATTAAGTATAATTCCCTAACAAGCGTTTGGTGAAGAAGCTGATAAAATGCAGTCTTCTGGTAGCACTAAGCAACAATGCTTGGAATGCTCTTCTCTCCCTCTAAATGCAAGTTGTTGCTTCAGGACTGGCCTGCATCAACACCTGAACTAAGGATAGGGAATGAAGTAGTGGAACGCGTTGACAACTTCACATATCTTGGAAGTCTGATCAGCCCTAATGGGTTGATGTCTGACGAAATCTCAGCACGGATTCGAAAAGCTCGTTTGGCTTTTGCCAACTTACGTCACCTTTGGCGGAGGCGAGATATCCGTCTATCAATAAAAGGACGAGTATACTGCACAGCAGTCCGTTCTGTTTTAGTTTACGGCTGCGAAACATGGCCATTAAGAGTAGAAGACACTCGTAAGCTATTAGTATTTGACCACAGATGCCTTAGAAATATTGCTGGCGTCTGCTGGGATCACCGGGTAAGTAATAGTGAGGTTAGACGCAGGGTATTAGGAAATGATGGTAAATCAGTTGATGAGGTTGTGAATCTTCATCGACTGAGATGGTTGGGCTACATGTTACGTATGCCTGAACACCGGTTACCACGACGTGCAATGCTAACCGGTGTTGGAGATGGTTGGAAGAAAGTTAGGGGCGGCCAAACCAAAACGTGGCATCAGTGCTTGAAGACACTAACTTCTAGTCTGAGCCATGTTGGTAGATGCAGACTACTTGGTTGGGGTCCACGTGACTATCGTAACCAATGGTTGGAGACTTTTGGTGACATGGCCCAGAATCGATCAGAATGGCGTCGGTGTATACACTCCCTGTCTTCCCTTAAACTAAGAGATTAAAATCAATTCATATCTTTCTTTCTACGAACTAGTTCTTTCTTCGTGTACTATATCCTTATTGCGATCTTTCTTTTATATATTACCACCTCTGAATTAACTACTTTTATGAATCTGGTGTTCATCTTGCTGTGCTAATGTGATTTGGCAACTTGGACTGATGCATATATGTGCCTGGTCCTACGTTGTAGCTGACTGACTGACCTAACAAGTGTATAATAAGCTAGATAGAACATGGAAAAGTTTTAGTGATGAGAAATATTGTGTTCCAATTTTATTTCATTCCATTAAAATGTATCATATTTCATTATTTCTGGTAAATGAAACAACAGGAAAACAATATAGATATTTATAACACAGTATATAAAGTTTGTAACAGTTAATTACATTATGACTTACATCAGTTCCCACTAATTTAATATAACATTCCATTGCTTTTGATCCTGCTGAATTAGCTCGAAATATCATAGATTCTTTTCCTTAGTTTGAACAACAAAAAAGGCAAACATTTAAGTGGGGTTTTTTTCAACAAAATATATTTTCAATAAACAGTGAATAATTATCTATAAGAGAGCTACATATATGAGAAAGAAATAATAGTTCAGTAGTTTCTAGGTTTTAATGTTCCTTTAGCTAAATTCATACCAAGATGTTGGCTACAAATTAAGAAATTTACACAGACTTCTTGCATTAAACTTGATAATTTACCTGATAAAATATATTTATAAACCAATTCAATACTGATTATGATAAAGTAGTATGTTATAGAGTCTATTAAGTATTTAAAAAAGAGAACATAATTAAGGGACTGATAACAAGAAGTGAAACAATTGATTAGTTCTAGGGAATTTCATACTTTATATGATCTCATAGTGTCACTGAAAATCAGACGAAAAGTATATTTCAAAGGTGAGTATATGAAAATCAAAGTCTATTAAATGATACATTTTCAACAAAACATTTTAACAGTATAGAGGTTGTGGAAATTATTATGTTTTTGACTAAGATCATCAAGCTAATCCGTGTCGGGTAGAGACAGGTATCTACCTCAGTACAAGGGAAGATAGTCGTGAAACTTTGTGGATTGGTTGATGATAGACACTAACACCATTGGATGCCGACTCAGTGGTCCAGTAGGTTAAGCGTTCGCGCGCGAAACTGAAGGCCCTGGGTTCGAATCCCGCGAGCGGGATCGTGCATGCGCACTGCTGAGGAGCCTCACAATATGACGGAAAAGCCTTCCAGTGCTTCTAGGTTTCCATCGGTGGTCTAAAATCAGTCGGTTCATGATCTCAATCAAAAACATTTTAAATTTGTATCACAACTAAATAAAATATGCCGTTGAACAATTTACTATTTTTCACATTGTATGGGACCAAATTTCTACTTCCGTCATATTCTCAATGTTTAATTCTTTTTTGAAAAATTAATTAAATGGACAGCCGGAAGTGAGTTATGATGATTCATATGATGAATTACTACCAACTAGAGGTAATTTAAGTTTTTATCATAATTCTATAACTTATACAACATGAAAAAACAACTCTCCAATCAGATCATCTTTTTCATCTTTGAAAATAATATACCACTGAAGTTTCTGCATGTAGGTTTGGTTTGTATTTGGACCATTATGAGCAACAATGCAAGCATGTTCGGGATGCGATTCTCCCCCTCGAAACGCAAAATGTTGCTTCGGGATTGGGTTGCATCGAAACCTGAACTAATGATAAGGAGTGAAGTAGTTGAGCGTGTCGATCACTTCACTTATCTGGGGAGTCTCATCAGCCCTTGTGGTCTGGTGTGTGACGAAGTCTCAGCACGGATACAGAAGGCTCGACTAGCTTTTACCAACTTGCGTCATTTATGGCGTAGGCGAGATATCCGTCTATCAACCAAAGGACGTGTTTACTGCGCAGCAGTTCGTTCCGTCCTACTTTATGGCAGTGAAACATGGCCGGTAAGAGTAGAGGATATCCGTAGGTTACTAGTATTCGATCATAGGTGTCTTCGAGGGATTGCTCGTATATCGTGGGACCATGGAGTAAGTAACGCAGTTGTTAGGAAACGGGTACTAGGTAAGGATGGCAAATCAATTGATGAAGTAGTGAAACTTCATCAGTTGAGATGGCTTGGGACGCGTGTTACGTATGCACAACGACCGACTGCCTCGACGTGTGATGTTCAGTGGTGTAGGAGTAGGTTGGAAGAAAGGTAGGGGTGGTCAGACCAAAACATGGCATAAGTCCATGAAGTCAGTGACAAGTGGACTGAGCCATATTGTTAGGTGTAGACTACCTGGTTGGGATCCGCGAGATGATAGCAACCGATGGTTAGAGACTCTGAATAGCATGGCCCAAAATCGTTTGCAATGGCGCAGGTGAATCCACTCTTTGTGTTCTCCCAAATTCTAATCTTTTGAATTCTTCATGTCTATTTTTTCCTCTTTCCGAATTTATTTCAGTGTATTGTACTCTTTGAATAATGTCTTCAGACCCTAATCTTTCCGATTACTGCTTATACTCTTACCACCTCTACTACTACGGGATTTGAATCGACAATTGTATTTGTGTGCTAATGTGGTGTGGCAACTCTAACTGATGTACGTACGCATGAAGTTTTACGTTTTTACTGACTGATATTTGATCCAAGTGTTGTTGTTTAATTTTTTGAACAGTTAACCGGTTTAGGTTAAAATCTAGAATGTTGTTTCATCAAAATTATACATTATGAAAGTTTAAAGTAAAATATGACAGTAAGATATTATGAAAATATTGAAATGAATGATTTCACTCATTTTTGTATTATAAGCTTTAGGTTACATGTGAAATAGTTCTATAGTGTATGTTTATGAAAACAAGTAGATTAGTTTTAAAACAATGATATTTTAAATCGTTGTACTAAATATATGGAACATGAAGTAAAAAAAGCCTATGTTGTATGTGATATTAAGTAATCTTAATATCCTCTGAAAGATGACTTATTTAATTCACAACTATCAGAGGTAAGTAGTAAGGTAATATTGGATGTATAAATAGATGTGTGAAAAGTACTTGAGAATAGTTACAATTGTAGCTCAATATAATGGATAAAATAAATTCAGATAGATAAATATTTTAAATAGGCATTCAGTTTGCTTCTTTAAACAAATGATAACATCAATATGTTTTTGATAAATGAATAAGAAATACTTATAAATAAGACGTTTTTTGGATGATCACTATCATATACAGAATGACAAATGTAACAAGTGTTTGTTCTTTCCAGACAAATCAACATAAATATATATCCACTCTATTAAAATTAAGATATTCAGTAAAATCAGTTATTATTATTATTATTATTAATAGCTTTATTCAATATTATATTATTGGTACAATATAGAATTCTCAGCACAAAGTATTTCAACAAGTTTCCGTTTCTTTCTTCTTGGTCGGTCCTCGCGATAAATACTGAGTGGTCGCCAGCTAGATGTTATCAGTCCAGTAAATGAACATGAGAATGATGTACATTCTTTTCGTTGTACATTGCCAGCAACCATATTCTCTCTTTTTGAGCTTTTTGTAACTTTAATAACGAAAGGTTGTACATTTTTCAGAAACGCAGCAGTATAGGTTGTGCGATTAATAGACATAATGATATATTAAAACAAACAAAGATAGATAACTTGTTGAAATATCTAGATGGCAGGAACAGGTAGCCCAGATGCTCAAGCAGGCCGCCTAGATAAGGATCTGACGTTAAGTATTTGTAATAGTCAGTCTTATATTTCTTTTTTTTCTTGAGGTTATCTATAAATTTTATTCAAATCTTATAATTTGTTATACTTTGATTAACACATCTATGACATTAGTATATCAATATTTGATATTCTTGACGATTCTAGATATTTACTGTTTGTGGATAGTTAAGACGATATAATAGTTTGTTTTTAAGAATTAGCATTTGACAAACTTCATTAACACTGCTTGCAAAAGTTGAAGTCTATAACTAACGATTCTTATTTATATTTCTATGAATTAATTATCAGATGAGTAAATATAATTATTTAGCTCATTTTGTTTATTTCTTTATTAATAAGGTTGATATGTGGTGTATGCTACTTATATTGACATAAGTATTATATGGTGTTGGTCGTGAACAGAAGGTCTGCCAGCAGAGAGACAAGAGGATAGAACAGTAAAAAAATGGAAACAGGATACAATTTGTATGAAAATGCAAGAACAATGAAGTCTGATTCATTTTGAGACAGTTGGTGGACATTTTGCAAATTAGGCATTTACTTTATGATTGTTAGATTTTATTAACAAGTCCTGTAATTTTCTGTTAAATACATTCGATTGTCCACACTGGTGTTCTTGTTCACTACAGATATAATAGAATGTCATGATTATATTAAACATAACAATATACTTACATGCTTTCTGTGATGTAAGCAGCTTCAATAAATTACAAAGTTTCTTCACGTGAATGCAATCAAAATAAAGTGAGCTTAAAAAAGCTTCGAAATATTGATAGACTTATTCTACGGTGTGTTACCTTTCTAACTTCAATGTTAAATAATTAGTAAGCCAAAGATTCAATTCTTAAACAGCAAGTTAAATATCTAGTTTAATACCAGTATAGGGGTTGTGGAAATTATCAAGTTTTTGATTGAGATCATGAACCGATTGATGTTAGACCACCGTTGGAAACCTGGAAGCACTGGACGACCGTTTTGTCCTATTGTGGGCCGTCCAGTGCTTCCAGGTTTCCAACGGTGGTCTAACATCAATCGGTTCATGATCTCAATAAAAAAAACTAGTTTAATAATAAATTACCTAGTTAAAAATTAAACAAACTGTTTATAAATGTTTAGCTATGAGGATATATCGTTATCTTGACTTCGGGAATCGTCATTTAAAGACTATTGAAGACGAAAGGTATTATAAAACTATTGGGTATAATGTCGAAAGATGTCAGAAGTTACTTCTATGTAACCAAATCTACCGAATAGATTAGTTAAAAATGATTATGATTCGGTTTTATATACTATTGTGTTTTATGAATCACATTAATTAATAACTAACTTGTCTGTTTTCATTGTTCCTTTAAACACAGAGTATCATGAAAAACAAAGTTTTCTAATACATAATGTAATAAAAGAAAATAATGAGTAGAAAAAACCTACCATTATTACTTAAATCTTCACGAAGTAGTACTGATAAAAATTCCGCTACAGATAAATCTGGTAGTTTTTCAAAAATATTTACAAAACAACTGGTCAATTCTTCTTTTTGTTTAGCTGATAATTTAAGTTCCAAGTTTCTGATTAAATCTAAATATTTTGTTTTGATGAACTATAAGTAAAAATAAAGTGTATAGATGGGAAACATTTAGAAGTATGATATATTATGTATGTAGTAATTATGATACTAAGTATTTAGTTTCAAAACAATCAACAGTGTTAAATAACCCGATTACCTTCTCGTAGGGAGGGTGTTGTTTACGAAATTGGGAGGACAAAAAGCGAATGTCCCGCGCTTTAACCGAGTTGGTGAATATAGAGGATCCATCTAAGGAAGTTGGAAAACCCTGATTCCAAACCAATGGTGCACATGGGCTCCAGAATCTTGAGGAAACAAATGGCATATGAATTAGTTGTTGATCATCAGCTACCATGGAACTGCATCTCCTGACGTTGCTCCACCGCCTTGTAGATTAGACTTTTAGGTAGAAGGCTCTAGGTGTGACCCCGAAAAAAACCACCTGTTTCGGTCTGGGCACCCTGGCAGTATCACAGCCCACACAAAAATCAAGTGACTTGTGTGGCGCATGTGTATCTACTGCCGTTTTGTACCAATATTTATGTGTTCAAATAAATAAATAAATAAAATAAATGACATAAATAACTCTGTTTACAACAAAGAATGTCAAGGGTATCAATCTCTCACTAAGTATGTTAATTTTTTCAAGATGATAATTGTATAGTTCTGGTTATTCATAAAAGAAAACTTACCATTGTTTTCAATTTGTAGCATTAAGTCACAAAATTATTATTCTATATGGATTCAAAATATAATTCTAAAGTTTCCATAAAATTAGCTTTCAGTTCGATCATATTTCTACTACAAAATTAACCGGATTATCTAATGAGGATGATTCATTCTTTATTATTGACAAAATGGTTAAAGATAAACGACACATATCTCGTCTATAATAACTGCTAAATTTGCTTGGACTAACATTTGGACAAGGTCATGTATGCATCACTAACTTTCAACGTAATCTATATATATATATGATGAAGAATACCTAGTTTCTATTTTTATGATTTTTGTTTTGTTAAACAAGAGAAAAAAAGTTGTTTGTCTTAATAAGAAAGAAAGAAATCCCCAGGATAACAACATATACTGTTAATGCGTTGAAATTATTCTAGCCAAGGAAAACAGTTACAAAATCGTATATATGGTTGATTTTATTCTTTAATGAATGCTCAATTATTTATATGATAACATTAAGGTTTATAATATTTGAATTAGATGTTCACATTAGGTTAAATATTTCAGAATAAAGACAGTAGACAGATAATCTCCCAATATATAATCATAGTGGGAAATCAATCAGTCAGTCAGTTAGTGACAGCGTAGAACTTCATACGTACGGTACATCAGTTCGAGTTGCCATAGCACATTAGCACAGAGATGCAGTTGTCGATTCAAATCAAGTAGTGGTAGAAGTAATAAAATTATAAGCCGTAATCAGAAAGATTAGGGTTTCCCCATAGTGGTAAATAAAATAGACCACTTGGATTTACTCTGTATTTACTAAGTTAACTGCTCTTGTAAGGCTCGTTACATCAGGCGGATAGTTAAGCAAGTCAGACACAAAATTTCCGAATACCATCCTTATTAGGTTACTAAATAGTAGTTAGGGGTGATTAAGAGAACAGCATTTGGTCATTTTATCAAAGTTAAATAGGGTTGAACAAAACCTTTCGGTTTATTGATTGTATGCTACTAAATTTGTCTCATTATATATGTATTCTTCTTTTGCGTATAGTCATAGCTTTCCGCATCCATCTTTACAAACCTGACCTCGTTCATAAGAAATTCGTGGAACCATTCATTTTATTTTGCTCACAAACAAAGGCCTGTAACCTATATCTTACTATTCCTTCTTCTAGGATTTTGCTAAAAATTTTTAATTTTCTTTGTAGCTTTTCTTCTTGTATAATTGTAATGTTCTTCTTTTCGTTCTTATGGAACGACTATTAACATTTTACATCATAATCAAAATTTTCTAGTTCACTTGATATTATGTAATAAGTCAGTCATATAACTATGTATTCTATTTCATTAATTTATTTATATCTTTAAGTATTACGATTACCCTACACACTTTGACGTTTTAACTAGTGTGTTAAGCACCCTGTGAGTTTGTAATACCGTTATTTAACATATTCACCATTTACTTGTCACCATTTTTACCCTTGTTGTTAATTAACTTTATTTTAATTGAGGTCATGAACCAATCAATGTTAGATCATCATTGAAAACCTGTAAGCACTGGACGGCCGTTTTATCCTAGTATGGGACTTCTCCAAAGTCCAAATCCACGACCCCAGTCTGAGGACTCGATCCCAGGACCTTTGGTTTCTTGCGAACGTTTAACCTCTAGACCACTGAGCCGGAATTCAAAGGTATTAATGTCTAACTTCAACGAATCCTACTTTATCTTAGTGAAAATTTATAGTATAATAGTAATATAATGAAAAGTCATTTGAAAAAAATACATATTTCTTTCCTCTACTTATTGTTTGGGTAGTAATTTCATTGACATAGAAAGCTCACTTTAAATAATTTACTTTACATTTATACATTTTTATACAAATGTAACAAGTTGGACAATGTTTTTCATTATTTAACAATCAAATTTAAAATATACATAAGCTGTTTTAAATATACATTTTCAATGGAATATATCTTGGGAATTTATTAATTCATACCATGAATAAACGTTAACTAGCTTCTATGTGAATGGGTATTGAGGTCGTTATTGAGGTTAAATGTAAACCGATTTTTCAATATGTTCAACATCGTGTTACGATATGTCGTGTTAAAGTGTAATTATATATATATATATATATATATATATATATATATATATATCATCTGTGAGTATATGACAATTTAACAGATAATAATCTTTATTTAATCCACTACAAAACTTATAAACAGGGAATGTTGTGAATATTTGCATAGAAATACATCATATCATTTATGTTAAATCGATAAATCGTAATTGCTTACCTCTTTCAATTCATTATAACAAGCAATCGGTAGAATATCAACTGTTTGATAATGAATCATCATTCTTAGTTGAGGTAAAGAATTTTCAGGTAAAATAAAATTATTTGTAACTGAATTACTATTAGGTGAAAGATTTGGTGAAGTAGCACTTGATGTAGACGATGATGATTTAGAAATAATTTTATTAGTTTTATTAAAATTACTATCTGTACTGACACCAGCAGTCCATGAACATTTCTTTTTTGATAGTTCCATATGGTTATACTTTGGTTCATTATCATCATTTAATTTATGATTATTATTAGTAGTATACTGTGAATTGGGTATAATTGAAAATGAATTAGAATATCCAAAACATGAAGCTGGAATCGAATGTTTACGAAATCGTCCTGATACACCATTTGAAGAATTGGTCGATGGTGTTTGATTTGTATCTGTTTGTTGTTGATGACGAACTTGTAAATTTTCTAGATAATTTAAATTTGAATTAATCTGTGGAGGTTGCATCGTAAACCATTTTTGTATCTCACATTGTTGTGAATCATCGTTTAGTGGAATAGTAACATAACCTATTGTACAAAATAAAGATATAGTTTTATTCGATAAGAGATCAGCATCACAAAATAGTCAACTAGAGCAATTATGATGTGGGATATTACTTAGTATACAATGAAATCCGGTATATCCTTGCTATAATAAGTCATACGAGGTCACAATGATTCATTACTAATATCGCTTACTAAGGTGATTGAGAATGTGGTATAAATCTCACTTGGAGTACCAGTTCACTCAAGATTTAGATATACCACACTTCTTTGTAAAAAACCTTAGATTCAAGGCTATCCACTAATTATCGTCAACCGTCTAACGTGCCAATTGGAGTATACAGACGCATAGAAATAACCAGTTGCAGAAAAAAATCTTCAAGGTACACTGATTAATTGACTGGTGAGTAACCTTAAGATACCTGCTTCAATTCAAAGTAGGCACTGAAGATATCATCTGGAGTACTGACAAAAGCTTCACAATCCTATGTTCGTTATCACTTGCCACCATTTTGATATAAGTGACGTAAAATTATCTTCACATAGGGTGTCTTTTAGAAAAAAACCTTATTTATTCAATATTGAAAGCTAATATTAAGGCTGTGATATATCCTGAAGCACATTAAATGTGGGTATTTAATTGGTGTAGACATTCAGTAACATGGTAATTTAACATGTAGAGTTCAAAGCCACAAAGTTTATCCACCTTTTCAATGTAAGCATTGAAATCCATGAATAATATTCATATTTACTTTTGAAAGCTATAATCAAACTAAAACACTAATCTGAAATGTCTCTAAAAGCCTACAATATCACATACCACTGTAGCTGCCATTTTATATCTAGATGATGAAGTGAATAAAGTAGTAATTATCCAGTAAGTGAATCCTTTATATATAGTTTTGAATCAATTTCTACATACAATGTTTTTGTTAAAATGCACTTCATTTATTACTTTTCATTCTGTGATCAATAATCATTAATTCTGTGAGGATTCTACTGATATTTTACTAAAGTTTGATTTCCCTAGAACAAAATATAGTATTTAGTTTGGGTTGTGGAGATTGTTCAATTTCATTGAAATCATGAACCGATCAATGTTAGACCAGTGGAGTTCAACCGTGTCGGGTGTGAGAACGTTATCTACTGAAGACAATGGAAATGGTCGCCCAACATCATGAATTAGATGAATTAATACATTAACACCTTTGGATGACGGCTTAGTGGTCTAGAGATTAGGCGTTAGCGTCTAAGACCGTAGGCGCTGGGCTCGAATTCCGTGTGTGGGGTCGTGGATGCTCACCGCTGGGCAGTCCTATACAAGGACGAAGCCGCCGTCCAGTACCTTCCGGTTTTCAAACAGATTTCTATGTACAACTTATAAAGACCAAATTCACCGGTCATATAAATGCCATTGTCAGTTGAAACTAGGATGTATTTTGAATTTTTATAGAAACGATGTAATTGGGCTTGACTTGTTTCTTTTTATATACAAGGAAGAACAAAACTGTACATACACACATAGAAATAATACGTACTATATCTTTCTAATATATTTTTGGTTTATTAATTTATACTACTAATAAAGTAATTTTTTAATAACCAGCTTTAATGAAGAAGTTCCACATAAAAATATATATGAAATATAAATAAAGCAAGAACAAATATTGGTGCAGAATAGTATGAATTCATATTATTTCGAGGTTTCTCGTCAGCTGCTTACAAACCAAAAAATGTGATAGAATTTTTACATTGAGATAAAGTGAAAACAAATGACATAGATGAGTGTAAATAACTGGGTTACAATAATAACTATATATATATGCTAGAACAGGTCAGAGGTCAAAAGGAATTAATTCGGGTTGGGTGGTGTAATAATGGAATTGAATAATCATAAGATAGGTTACGTAATAATAATTAAATAGAATTTGAAAAGTTAAGATAATTTAGGAGGATCAGGTGGTGGAAATGCGTAAATAATAATGTGGTTTAAGAATTATGTAATAGGGGAGGAATATAAATATTTTAAAATAAATAAAAAAAAATAAAATAATAATAATAATAATAAAGGGTTACCGGGGTAGTGATAAGTTAATTAAAGTCTCTTTTTGAATGCATAAGTCAGGTTTAAGTTTTTTGATCATAATAGCTTCAGCAAAACGGAGGGTGGTCGTACTTCTTTGTCTATTGATAACTTTGAAAGCATGAGGAATGTCGATGGTGTGCCCGGTGTCAAGCAGATGTCGAGCTATTGCACTGTTGAAAGCCCTGGTCCCACTCAGCCTCAAGTTTTTTGGAACATGCTCAAAAATGCGGACATGCACTATTCTCTCAGTTCTTCCAATGTATGTGCTTTGGCACGTACATGTAAATTGGTAGATGCAGTTGGAGCTACTAAGAAAAGAGGGCTTAACTATCCGCCTGATGTAACGAGCCTTACAAGAGCAGTTAACTTAGTAAATACAGAGTAAATCCAAGTGGTCTATTTTATTTCCCACTATGAGGAAACCCTAATCTTTCTGATTACGGCTTATAATTTTATTACTTCTACCACTACTTGATTTGAATCGACAACTGCATCTCTGTGCTAATGTGCTATGGCAACTCGAACTGATGTACCGTACGTATGAAGTTCTACGCTGTTACTAACTGACTGACTGATTGATTTCCCACTATGATTATATATTGGGAGATTATCTGTCTACTGTCTTTATTCTGAAGTATTTAACTGAAGTATTTAATTAACTTATCACTACCCCGGTAACCCTTTATTATTATTATTATTATTTTATTTTATTTTTATTTATTTTAAAATATTTATATTCCTCCCCTATTACATAATTCTTAAACCACATTATTATTTACGCATTTCCACCACCTGATCCTCCTAAATTATCTTAACTTTTCAAATTCTATTTAATTATTATTACGTAACCTATCTTATGATTATTCAATTCCATTATTACACCACCCAACCCGAATTAATTCCTTTTGACCTCTGACCTGTTCTAGCATATATATATAGTTATTATTGTAACCCAGTTATTTACACTCATCTATGTCATTTGTTTTCACTTTATCCCAATGTAAAAATTCTATCACATTTTTTGGTTTGTAAACAGCTGACGAGAAACCTCGAAATAATATGAATTCATACTATTCTGCACCAATATTTGTTCTTGCTTTATTTAAATTCATAAAGGGAACCAATTGCATGAAATATATGAAATAGTTATATATCACATACCGATAAATTGATTCTGATTTTTATTCCTTTGTCGTTTGTCTTTTACAGAAGTTGCTTGCCTGAATAAATTTATTGTCATAATGGATATTATAGGCAAATTACTGTCATTGTATATAATAAAAGAAAAAGTAAGGAATAATAATAAATGATCTTACTTTAAATAGATTAAATACATTGAAAAAAGAAATATGATAATCATACAAAGACAAATTGAATACAAGATTACCCATTAATTAAAAACAAAGGATAGATTTTGAATAGTATCTATGTCTATTGAATTATTTAAAATAATTGTCAAGCAGACTTCTTTCTTAGCCTTTTTTAAATAGGAGATTATTCTCATTATTTATGTATAATCAATATAGTTTTAGCATAAGTATTTTCATTTTTAGCTTTCAAATATGAAACCTTTTTTATAAATACATCTTTATAAAGTAGATATAAGAACAATGAATGTAGAAATCTACTTTCACGTATATTCACTTATATGTAGGATTTTTTTAAACTGAAACAAAATTAAATGGTTTAGAATGGAGCTGTTAACCGTTTTAACTACACATTTGCTTGACCACACTGGAGATATTCACAAGCCCGAATGTATAAATTCCTAAAACATCTGCCAATATAATAAACAAAATTTCACGTTCATATTTATTCCTATTGTTAATGAACAACTAAAATTTATTAAATGCTAGCATATTAGTGAGTTAGACGTATGATAAAAGTTTTGTTTTAGAGAATTTGTTGTATAATGAAAAGTGGTATTTATGAATTTGCTAATTGGATTTAGTTGTGTTGATGTTAACGTCTAATATCCATTTGTTATCCAATTGGTTACCATTCGAGAAAATAAGATCAAATGAAATTCATAATCAACTTGAATCAGTTAAATTATGTCCATGTTACTGATGTGTATTTATTTAGTGTATTCGGTAGTGAATGTTATACAATTCTGCCCTTAAATGCCCTGGTACGTCCGAGAGTGGGGAGAGTTAACTTTCCCTCACGAAATGCTATCACATGGCCACGCGTATATAGCCTCTGCCAAGGAAGTCCTACTCACTGCCTTTTCGTGGCGGGGGTGTTGTTTACGAAATTGAAAGGATGAAAAGCGAATGTCCCCCCCCTTCAACCAGGTTGGTGGACACGGAGAGTCTACCTAGGAGAGTTGGAATACTGTGATTCCAACCCGATGGTACACATGGGCTTCAGTATCCCGAAGGAACAAATGGCGTATGAAACAATCGTTGGTCACCGACTACCACGGAATCGCATCTTCTAACGTTGCCCCACTGCTTTGTGGACTAGACCTCTAGGTCAAAGGCCCAGGCTGTGGCTCCCTAAGAAAGCCACCTGTTTCGGTTTTGGCATGCGGGCAGTATCACAGTCTTCACACAAGTCGAATGATCTATGTGGCGCATATCTAGTTGGTGCTTCCTTGTACCAATATTCATTACTTGTGATAAGAGGAAACTCTATCATAACAGTTCAAATATCTTAAAATTTTATTGTAATTGAATTGTATCTAGAAATAAATACTGTTATAGTGTAAAAATGAAAATAGAAATTAAGTAAAACTGTACATTGTACATTTCCATTGTTCAGAAACTGAATTTAATCGCAAATAAAATAAGATACTGACATAAATTCCACTTAGTGTTCTACTGTTCTCAAGTTGTCTAGGTAAAAGTTGCTACTAGGTAAAAACGGTTAAACTATTGACTGATAAGAAATTATACAAAATAAATCTTTCGTATAGATTCTTCTGACTTTCAATTAAGTGATGTTTGTAAAGAATACTGGATATCAGAATAATGCACATTTTCATACTTGGAAAACATTTTGATTACTGTTATATCCCGAGGAGAATTATGAATGGTAACTTTTGGAAACTATTTACGAACCAATACGATACATATATTTTTATCGTATAATTGTTAAGTAGCTAAACTATGCATATTCATGTTCCCCTTATTAAAAGCTTTATTATTATATGACTTACCGTTCTTGGGTTCTACCCAGTCTACTAATTACAGTCTCTCACATTCACAGCCACTTTTTGCGAAATCTTATACAAATGTTATTTTCTATTTCATGGTACGATGTGATCTGTTTGGTTTGTATATAAACCCAGTATGATTGAAATATATGATGCAAATCGCAGAGCCTGAAATTGATGTTCTGAACTTAACAGGCAGGGCTAGGCAGGAAGCAGGACCGATAAGGACTCTAGACTGCTCATACGGGTTTACGCATCATTGGTCCGGTCGAAAAATCATTGTTGTCTAATTGGTGGTATCATTACTTTATACACTAATAGGGTACAAAGCCACAAGTTACAACAATTACTTCGTTTATGAGGTATCAATGTCTCGAACAATTTCTATGCAGGTTGAAAAATTAACAATTTAGTTCGTCCATATTTAGTGTTTACATCAATATGGATGCATATTCAAATAGCAGTATAACATTTTGGATTTTTACGAAAAGAAGTAAATTCAGTGAATACAACTTAAACTTCATGAGAAACCGTCTTGAAGTTTCTTGTCATTGCATTATTTTGAATATATTTAGGAATATAAGATAATGTTTCTTCAAATACATAAGTCATACCAATACATATAAAAACACAATCAGGTATTTTCATTTAATATATTTACCAGAAGTACTCGTCAACTTAACATTAGTTTTTTTCAATATAGAAAATATTTTGTTATATCCCAAAAGATTATGAATTGTTGAAATCATCAAATGATTCTCCAACAGTTTAACACAGTAAAGTAAGTAAATTACATTGGATTTTGCATCGACCACTGCGTAAAATAATGTTAACACTGCTAAATATTACTGTAAATGTATTTTAAGAAAAAAACATCTTAACCAGATTTTAAGTAGAAAATTTCAGTTACCATTTCAAACTCTTCATATGTCCTATTTATAATCATAAATAATTTAAGGGATATTTATTTTATAATTACGATATATGTGAACATAAAGAATGGTCTGAATTATTTTTCTCTGGTTAGCGTCCTTCTAGCGAGTTAGTTTTCGACGATATGGGATCATTAACCCCATGCCCACCCCCCCCTTATCCGGGCTTGGGACCGGCAGTAGCCCCAGAAGAGCTCCAGGCGGAGGAGGAAATCAGGAAGAAGAGCTGAAAGTGGATAGGACACACATTGAGGAAAGCACCCAACTGCGTCTCAAGGTAAGCTTTCACTTGGAATCCTCAAGGTCAAATGAGAAGAGGAAGACCAAAGAACACATTGCACCGAGAAATGGAGACAGACATGAGAAGAATGAACAACAGTTGAATAGAACTATAAAAGAAGACTAATAACAGAGTGGGTTGGAGAATGCTGGTCGGCGGCCTATGCTTCATCAGGAGTAACAGGCGTAAGTAAGTAGGTGAGAACATAAAGAGTCATAGAAAAAATATGTTATTTCATAGAAATACAACACCAATGACAAACAAACTTAAGTGTAAAATGTGATTATTTTAATTTGTTTAAAATAATATTTATAATGAAAAGATTTAGAAAAAGTTTACAAAAACAAATTCGGTTATTTACTTTAAATCAAATTGTTCCCCCCAGAATACAGTTCCATCTGACAGTTTACTAGTGGTGCGCGCATATAATGTACGATCCAAACATATTTCACAAAAGTATCTGTAATCATTAAATAATAAAATATTCTTATCTTTAAAAATAAAAAAACAATAACAGATGGATGTTTATTAAATAATTTTGTTGCGATGTCCATTTGTTGGATTGACAACACTAATGACTTATTACATGACATTTATTCATTCAAAAAAAAGTAATAGGATAATATAAAACTATTTATTCGTATATACCGGTTTCGAAATAATATGCGTTTAATTATTATTTATGTTTTATTGTGACTTATCCGTTTATTTCATGATAGATATTATGCTGCATTTTTGTCATAACCAACGAATAGAAATTTTACATTACACATTACAACCCTAAACTGAAAATTATAATATGCTCATTAGGGATTAGTTTTGAGAGAGAAGCTTTGGAGTTCTGGTAAGAAGCTATGACTAATGAAGTTTAACCATCTTGGATGTGAGGAAATCATATATCGAAGACATTTGGAGCTAGTTGCGCAACATCGTGAATTAATTGTAGTTAGACATTAAAACCATTGGATCCCGGTTCAATGGTGTAGAGATTAAGCGTTCTTGTGTGAGGCTGAAGGTGCTAGATCCGAATCTTGTGTGCAAGATCGTGAATGCGCACTGTTGAGGAGCCCTATACTAGGACGAAAAGGTTGCCCAGTACTTCCAGGTTTTCAATGGTGGTCTAACATTGATCAGTTGATAATTTCAATGAAATAAAAAATATCCACAATCTCAAACTGAAAACTAATCATTGTACCACAACTGAATCACATCTTAGGTTTGTATTTCAAGTAGTTGTTATCATAATATTAAAAAGAAACTATTAATATACAGGACTTGATATAATTTTAAATGTAAAAATCTTTTTTAATAAATCTCTCTTTTGAATACGGGAAATACAATTCGAAAATGTGGAAAAACCTCTCTAGTAATACCAACTAATATGCTCCAGTATTATCATGAATGGTAATTTTATTTATAAACAAGGAATTACATTTATTTACTATCCATTGCTCGAAGATTATTAAAGTACTGAATATAATAAAACTGGAATATAGTTTGTTTTCTGATAAGTTCTATTTCGAGTTGATATCTTTGTATAAATCAGAAAGTAACTAATTGATATCAGGTACGAATGAATTTGATCACGTGTGTAATAGTTGAATTATGATAAACAAGTTATGAACGAAATTTTTCTAAAAATAACTCGAAGTTGATAGTTTTAGATGAAACGATTAGTGATAAGAATCGAAATGCTAAAGGAATTGGATTTTTTATGCCTATGTGTATACATACAGATACTCATGGACAAATAATGAATTAGCTTTACATTTGCCTTGATAACCATCTAGTTAGGTAAATACTAAAAGAGATCTAAATTCATTTTTCTTTACTAAATTAGCTCAATAGTTAGTTTCAGCTACAACGTAGGACCACAACGTAGGCACATATATGCATCGGTCCAAGTTGCCATACCTCATTAACACAACAAGATGAACACCAGATTCATAAAAGTAGTTGATTCAGAGGTGGTAATATATAAAAGAAAGATCGCAATAAGGATATAGTACACGAAGAAAGAACTAGTTCGTAGAACGAAAGATATGAATTGATTTTAATCTCTTAGTTTAAGGGAAGACAAAGAGTGTATACACCGACGCCATTGTGATCGATTCTGGGCCATGTCACCAAAAGTCTCCAACCATTGGTTACGATAGTCACGTGGACCCCAACCAAGTAGTCTGCATCTACCAACATGGCTCGGACTAGAAGTTAGTGACTTCAAGCACTGATGCCACGTTTTAGTTTGGCCGCCCCTAACTTTCTTCCAACCATCTCCAACACCTGTTAGCATTGCACGTCGTAGTAATCGGTGTTCAGGCATACGTAACATGTAGCCCAACCATCTCAGTCGATGAAGATTCACAACCTCATCAACTGATTTACCATCATTTCCTAATACCCTGCGTCTAACCTCACTATTACTTACCCGGTGATCCCAGTAGACGCCAGCAATATTTCTGAGGCATCTGTGGTCAAATACTAGTAGCTTACGAGTGTCTTCTACTCTTAATGGCCATGTTTCGCAGCCGTAAACTAAAACAGAACGGACTGCTGTGCAGTATACTCGTCCTTTTATTGATAGACGGATATCTCACCTTCGCCAAAGGTGACGTAAGTTGGCAAAAGCCAAACAAGCTTTTCGAATCCATGCAGAGATTTGTCAGACACCAACCCATTAGGGCTGATCAGACTTCAAGATAAGTGAAGTTGTCAACGCGTTCGACTAATAGTTAGTTTAATGTAGATCTTCAACTAGTATTTATACTTTAATGATAATTATCTGGTTTTAAGGTTTTAAGTTTAGATCCCTTGATACGGTAATTCAAGTTATTAATATAAAATAATTTTTAAAAATTTACTTTAAATATTTACCACAATTTCTTATTCGATTCATGGAGTGTATATTTAGCAAAAACTGTAAAGAAACTAGCGAGTTCAATAAAACTCAAAGGTAGAAAATTTTTTGATTTTCAATTAAAAAATTTATACCAAGCGATTATCATGAGTTAGTTTAACTACAAATATAGAACATGTTTATTTCATAATGTTGAATGCGTCACTCAATTTCGTGGATTAGTTGAAGTTAGACATTCATACCGTTGGATGCCGACTTAGTGGTCTAGGGGTTTAGCATTAAGTCCTGGGTCCGGATCTCGAGAGGCGGGATCGTGGATGCGCGCTGTTGAGGACGAAACGGTCGTCCAGTGCTTACAAATTTTCCATAGTGATCTAGCATCAAATGACACATTATCTCAACTATTAAAATGGATCTTTTTGTTTGAAATCATTTAAATTAATAATAGTAATAACTTTAACTGAATGTTTGCCAGTTTGTTTGTTTATTTTTAGTAAAGTTGATTAGAATGGAGTTTAATGAGGTTGTGAAAAAAAGGTTTACAACTGCATTTCAAGTCTTATTAATTTCCAGTTTAAAATCAAGATACATATATGTAACTTGGAAAAAAACTTAGATAGCACAGGTTAAATTTACGCTTGAAATAATCTGTTTCTGTTTTGTTACGTTTCGTTAGAATTGAGTGTTCTTGTCTCAAACAAAAAACAACTAAATAAGACATATTCAGATGACTTTAAATTGTCATGTTCAATTAACAAATTAATATATTAAACATTACTCATTATGTAATCGAACTGCCTTAAAACTGTCAAAACAGAAATTAGGTAAGTTGAACGTTTCGCTTGCCAATTCCTTGTGGATTTCCCCAGGGTGATAATCAAAATTATTATTATTATTATAAATGTCAAAAATACAAATATGTGCTTAATTGTTTTTGATTATTTCTCTTAAGAAGCTTAGACCACACTGTAGAATAAAACGTTGAAGTTATAAATTTTCAGTTGTTGAGATTTGTATATGTACAATTTTTAATTTTAATGATTTTTATTCATATACAGGATCTAACTATTATGAAACTTTTCGTCCAAATCCGGACAGAAGTTCTTATCAAACTATTTTTATGTCTCAGAAAAACTTATAGACAATCTTTTTGTATGCAAAGATGGATAATGGTTAGCAGTGGAATCCAGGATGCGAGTTTCATCCTATTTAGCACTCGGCAGATGAATGTACCTGTATCCCAGAGTTCACGTTCACTGTAGGGCACGAACCTAGTACCGTTCGCTTCAAACGCCATCGCATTATCCATTTAGCTACTGATCCCTAATGGCCACATGCTTATGCATTGGGGGAATTTTAAATTCACTGGGTGTTGTTTTATTTGTATCTTCTCATTGTTATTTAGGACTGCAATTGATCTGTCTCGTATTGGCATATGTGTGTTCCGTGCGGATTGCTTTGATATAGCCTTAAGTCATGGTGGTGTGTTCGAGTCCCGAATTGAACATCAACTCAGAGATCCAGGTACATTCACCTGAAAAGTTCAAAATAGGACGAAACGCGCTTTCTGAATTCCACTGCTAGCCACTATCCATCTTTGCTTATAATGCTTTTGACTTAAGGCAATATCAAGGCAATAAGCACAGGATGCACATATGCCAACAAGAGACTGATGAATTACAGACCTAAACAACAATGGGAAGGTACAAGTAAAACAACGCCAAGTGAACTTAATCTTTTTGTATGTTTCATATTCATACAATGACTTCTATAAATGATAAATGATACCATAGATTCCTGACATTCATTTATTGCTGTCAAAAAAATTGTATTTTATAATTCTTTGCATTACGTTTAGTCAACTACTGTGATAGAATAAAACTACACAAAACATTGGAATGTATTTTGTCATTAACTTTGTTTGAATTAAGTATCTATTCATTAAGATTAATTTAATTTACAATGGATTAATTAGGTAAATTTTTAGACGCATATTTTAAAGAAACACAACTAAATGTTTGATGTTATTGTATTGAATAAATAAATGAATGGAAAACTTGTTTTCATCAACCAGGAATGTTCCAAAATTAGTGTTATTTGTCTATTTTCACCTTTATTATAAAAAAAAGGACCATGGGTCTTTCTTTTAATAGACCAAGTAAGAGATAAACTCAGTAGAACAATTACTTTCTAATTTGTCTATTCATTTGAGTAAATAATAAACCAAATAATTTATTACTATTTAATAACAGTTGACTAATGAACTGATAAGATGTAGTAAGTATTAAATATGAAAGTTTTGTTCATGCAGCAATGTATAATCGTAACACATGAATACTCTGTTAGGAAAGCGGATAAGAGGAATGTCGAAGAACAAATTACGTCAGGAAATAAAAGGATGAATAACAGCTGGAAAGAACTGAAAATGATTGTTCAGGACAGGGTTGGATGGAGAATGCCGGTGGGCGATCTATCCTCCTCAACGAGAAGTAACAGACGTAAGTAAGCATGAATACTCTATGCTGAGTAAATCTAAGTAAGTCAATATATAATTAGAAATTCACTGTATATCTGAGCAAATATGTATTATAGGCTATATTAAT